CATATGAATAATGAATTTGCATAGGTACATACTGAATGATTTCCACTCACTGGTCAATGAGAATGACTCTACAAATAATTGATGGATACTGTGAGAACTCATAGACGTTCAACACATTAACCAAATTTGGTTTTGAGGGAACACATATGCTAGACTGAATTGCAGATTAAAAAGAAATAACTACACTCTTTTATTGATTACCCATTGCATTTATCTTACCATACTACTTGGTATTGTACAGTAGATTAAATGATTATCAATCAATTTGAAGCCTTCCTCTCTGATTTCTTTGTTGAAATGAACTGCTCATCTTAAATATTGTTGTCGATTTTTCTGAAGTTTCGAACCACTTTATTGTTTGTAGTTGTATCGCCTATGTCATTCGATTGTTTACTCCCTTTGAAGTATCTTACTACTCTGTAGACATATACTGTAAACAGCTTGTTTATTTCGAATCGATGGATATTGATTCACTCTGTTAACTGCTTATATGCTTCTTAGTCTGTTGAAAAAATGAGACATAAGACAGGGAAAACAGGAATTTCAGGACACTTGAATGTTTATTAGTGAATTAGGATGGGAGTTTTCATGGATAATTCACTTATTACAATCCTTTCATTTGATCACATTATCTGATATCAAATATAGTTATGTCATCACTTTCATACAAGTTGAATAGATTGCATAGGTAGTTTACATGGTGAATTGAACTGTTTTCATCTTATACTAATAAGCATTTACCGGTTAGCTTAAAAGTGAGACTTGTGAACCTTGAATATCCACATGAAATATTGTTTGTAGCCAAACATTAATTTAGGTAAACGTTTGTTGTTTATATTGCACAAAGTTAGCGGATACACTTCGAAGGATTTTGTTCAAGATAAGAGAAGAAAATGATTAGCTATATGAGTATCATACTAATTGAGTTGTAGATTTTAAATTACGTCTAAATTTGAACAATACTCCGTTGAGCTATCACACTATATAATAGGTATATACTTTGTCCATTAAACTATGCAATGCAATTATATTCGATAGAGTAAATTTCCAGTACCGAGATATAGTAGATATTGTCAGATTTTGTATATAATTTTACTTAATAATTGACTGACTGACTCAATAAATGACTAGCTGACTGATCGTGGATCAACAACAATTGTAAGCCAGCAAACATTGCATTGCTGTTTTTCTTAGTGAATTTTATATAGGACAATGTGCAATAAATTCGCATAACGTCAGGGGTTATTCTATGAAGTGCACTGAACGTCAAAGCACAACTGTGATCAACCGATCTACATTTCACCTCAATTAATGTCCACTCAGACTTTGATTTATAATTACTTATCACTGTCCATATGTATGTCTCCAATAACTGGATGCGAACAGGAGAGAGATTTTGATATGTGAATATTTGGAATTAGCATAGAATAATATTCTCCCTTGTAAAATGAAAACCAGATATTTGGAGTGAAAGCGAATTTGTGACACTGAATAAATAGAAATGATCTATGTCAGTCAACGCTGTGATGGTATATGTTTCTCTGTGATTGTCGTTTCAATGATGAAATTCATGCAACAACTATATCGATGCCTAATTACCACTAACTATTTCGTTGTGATACACCAAAATGTGCTTGTGTACATGATGATGTGAGTTATGTGAATATGAAATATTGGACTGTGTATGAGTGATTTTCTGTGGTTGACTCAGTTACATAATACATTGCATGACGTACTTCTCATGAATGGTGTGTTTTGTTGCTGGTAAGCAATATTAGGCAAATTTGATTGTAATGCTTGACCGATGGGGATCAAGAAACAACATTAAAGCCAGGATACAAATATCCAACTAATAACATCATTCTTCTCTTCACCATTACTCAGTTCAATAAACAATGCGTGATAGATTTGTTGAGACGCGTTAGACTAGTGAGATATTGATTCATGTGCCATTGTGGATGCTAAGCTGTTATAAGATTGCACAATGAATTGCTGATTCGAGTGATGTTTAACTGTAATGTTCATTAGCGAAATAAACCAAAGTGGAGAGATTATTTTGACACATGTGTGAGAGTATTCGTACTCTCAAGAACAAATATTTGAGTACTGATGATGATTAGTTTTCATTCAGCTACCTAGTGGTCAACAAAATAGTATAGACCGAATATTTGGAAGGCATTTTGTAGTACATGTTTTGCTGAACAGACCAAACAAACATCCAAGTCAAAGTGACATGGAGCCTTACGGATAAACTTCTCTATTACACTCAAGATAAAATAAATAACGAGAAATCAGTGAAAGTTATACTACCTTGTAGTTTACTGTATTTTAAATAATAAATTACGCATCGATATTTGACATGTTCTGGTTGACTGGAATGAGCCTAGTGTTGCCTTGAGTAACTGAAATTCAATATTTCCATCGTGACCTCAACACTACCTTCTTGATCGTGATTGGCTTAGCACTATCACTAAATTTCAACGTATATTCAGAAGGGTGGGAATGAAGTATAGAGACGATCCGATCAGGTTTATATTGCTATTTGATCACTAAAGTTTGTAGTTGAAATAAGCACATTGACTACAGCATTCCACTTTCTGAACAGAATAATCACTTACAACAGAGAAATGGACAGATGCCACGTTCTTACAAAACAATCTGTACTGCTCTCTCGGTCAACTGTCTGTTGAAACATTGAGCAACACTGCATTGACAATTTAGTGGTTGGAACGACGTGGATGGACAAGTTATATTTTCACGACTCGATGATCATCTACCAGCTTAAATAATCGATTTTGTCATCCAAACATAAACCTTACAACGGATCATATCAAATTGTACGAACCTACTCACATTTTAACCAATATGTTTTTCCGAATGGATTCGTATTTCCAGGTGTACAAATCGATTTGATTCTCCAAACACATGTTGATGAGAGCAGCTCATTACTATCACATATATCGAACCAATCACCAAGTTGATTTGGTTCCATATACAATCGAACACATTGTGAGATTGTATTTCTCAAATTCAGTAGACTTGATGATTTATTCAATGCGCTGGTATTGTTATTGAACTCAGTTGTTGTAGGGTTGCTCACAACTGCATACACAGTTTGATATGAAATGACTGCGACGAGGAAGAACAGATTGACTGACTTTGTTCATCTAATTAGTTGTGGAAGTGAAATTGGCTTATTTTATCCACAAAACAGTAGGTCGACTAGTTGCATTGCTTATGCCATTTGCATATCGATCATGTGATATGAAAATGTATTTAGTTTGTAGGAAACGATGTGTCAACCGATCACATGCATCACATTCTCTATGCATGAGATATTATCATTACATAACCAGTGAGATTTGATCGCACAATGTTGTGAAGCAATAACATTCAACTCAACATCATCTTCGAATTTCAACATTTTCAACTCGAATGATCAACACTTGTTTAATTTGTGTATGTCAAATCATCTTATCATGAAAATGAAATGAGAGCTTGATGCACGGTGACCAACTGTCAGTTTTCAGTGGAATCGAACATGTACACAATCCTGTGATGAGATGACGCTCCAATTACCGAAGATATGTTTAATATTGTCACTGTATCAGAAATTCCTACCTGCTTTGCCACGTCACTAACCAGTAATGTCGAGTTTGAGCCATTATCTAACAATGCATAGGTATCCACGATGTCATGTGGTCTGCCGAACCGTTCATGTAGTATTTAATTGCCTCAGTATAACCTTCCTTTTCTGGTAATAAAACTCAGTGTTCTACAGCATCCTTTGCTATACCTTCGCAATAGTGTATCAGGTACATCAATTTCTGAGTGTCATCATTTACTCTGTCAGCTATGTTAACCTTGATTCCCTTCATGAACGTCTAAAATTTAAGAGGGCTCCCGTCAAATTTCGTGATTTCTACCTTCGGTAAGCTTACTGACATACATAGCGCCTTGACGCTATCTACCTGTGCTTTGAATTGCATTTCATCGCTCGAAGGTACATTGGTGTGTCGGTGACTTGCTGTAACTACTGTAGTTTTATCCTCGGATCGAGACCCCGACAACTCGGTAGTCTCCCTAGGTCTTCTCACTTTGTTTGAAGAGTTCGGAGTTAGCTCTAACAATCGCTTGCGTAGTTGTAGTTCTCTAATCTCCAGCTTAATCTTTTCTTCTTCCCTTTCCCTAGAAACCACTTCGTCTTCTACGCTGTATCTAGTCTCTGCACAGTTGTCTCCTACCGAGCAACTGTCTTTGGGGTTAGGTTTAACAATATCAAAGGCAAGATTTAAAGGAATAGGTGAATTCACCTTAGAAACTGAAGGAATAATATTTTCAGCACTGGAATTGTCTGTGTCGTGGGAACTGTCATCGTTGTACTTCATTCTTCTCGTTCTAGTCATCGTTGGGATGAATGAACCAAATAGGATTCCGACCAAATTCGTTACAGCATGTATTCCCTCCAATTAGTAGCAAGTTCAGAACCGTATCCACACCAAATGAGACCAAAGTTGAGAACTGCTATCCACACCAATGAGACCAAAGTTGAGAACTGGTATCCACACCAATGAGACCAAAGTTGAGAAATGTTAATTCTATCGAAGCGTCGAAGTAACCCCGATTGAGATACGCGCAAAATCGAAGTTCCAAAACAACGATTTGTCTACAAAAGCGGTTCTTTATTGAATAATACACAAAATTTATTTACAAACCTCAACTTTTGAGGTGTCTAGGCGTTTAAACGCGTCTTTCAAGAATGAAAATACTAAAGGCTTCGAGAGTCCAAGGACAGCCGATAGCAGTTTATGAACAATCGAAACTCGAACCAAGAGCAAACAATATGGAAACTGTTGCGTTTAAACAAATGCATAAAACTTTGGATAACCGTTACAGCAATTAAATTACAGTGATTATAATGATAAATACTATGATAAGTAAAATAAACGTTAAAGATATATGTGAACATTTCAGAATGTTACAACATGATTGTGAAAATTGTTGGGCATACAACTGCTTACTGAATATAAATAAGTAGTATAAACCAACATACAAAAGAGTAGGAAAGGAATGAGCAGGAACAATGTAAAACAAACTTAACACCGCCCCCCAAAGACAGCATGTCTTTCCTTACTTTCGCTGATTAGGTATTAACGTAAAACGTTCAGAGGTGACAATGGTACAATTTACTCTAGCCACAGTCACTCTGAAAGGTCTCTCTATCCTCTACTGTTCAGTCGTCCACCCCTTCTAATAAACAAATTTTACGTATGTCTCTAATAATTATACCTTTCGACGTTCTGATCTTCGCTTATCTCTCTAGACCGTCTTCTCCTAGGTCAATACTTACCACTAGGCCTTTGGGCCAGTTATTTCGCGCGTAAGTGTCTCCAATAACCAAGACTAGATCGCCAACTTGTAGATCTCGTCTTCTTTGTGTCCATTTTGTTCGCGTCTGTAAGAGTGGTAAATACTCTTTTATCCACCGACGCCAAAATGTAGTTGCCATCAGTTGTGCTTGTCGCCATTGTCGTGAATAACGCTCACGTAGGTTTATCTCAATCTGATGAAGGTGAGGTTTTCTCAACAAAAGTAAATTATTAGGTCACAATGTCTCGAGTTGTTCTGGGTCATCGTAAACTGGGACTAAAGGTCTATCATTAAGTTTTCTTTCTACTTCGGTTAGATAAGTGGAGAGCGTCTCGTGTGTCATGGTTTGCTCACAAGATACAGCACTCAAAATTCTACGTATGCTCCTTATTAATCTTTCCCATATCCCTCCACGATGACTTGCGTAAGGGATGTTGTAGTGCCACTCTATATTCCGACGAATCATTTCCTTAGCTACCCTATTATCCTTAAAGTCTGGTAATAGACGTTGTATCTCCTTCTCTAACCCAACGAAGGTGGTTCCTCTATCGCTGTATATTTTCTTCGGTATTCCCCTGCGATTTGAGAAGCGAGACAACGCCATTAGAAAGGAATCGATTGATAAGGCGCAAGCAACTTCTATATGAACTGCTCGGATGTTGAAACATGTAAATAGGCAACCGTAACACTTTCGAGATTTGCGTCCCTCTTTGATCATGATCGGACCAAAATAATCTACTCCTGTCGTCGCGAACGGGAAGTCTGGTGTTATCCGTGTAGATGGTAAGTCTCCCATCAGTTGTGACATCGGCCTGGCTGATCTAATGCGACAGCTTATACATTTATGTACGATCCTCTTGACTGCCACAGTGCCCTTTAAGATCCAATACTTTTTGTGCAAGGCAGATAGTGTGTGGTACACTCCCATGTGCCCCTCAGCTTGATGGTAGTAATGAATGATAAGCTCCGTTATAGGGTGTTTACTGGGTAGAATAATCGGGTGTTTCTGCTCTAATGGAAGGTCGCTATTATTTAGACGTCCTTCTACGCGAATCAGGTTGTCGATTACGATTGGACGTAACTTAATAATAACTTGATTCTTGGGCAAAATGCTTTCGGAATATTTGCGTCGCTTAATCCATTGCCTAAATTCCGTGAATTCTTGCTCTTGTACGTATCTTAATAAGTCTTTTTCGGCATTTTCCATTTCGTTAAGCATAAGGGGTCCACTTACAATCGTTTTATTGTAGAGGTATCGTTTGAATCTGGCAAGCCAAGCTGTGCCTTGTTTAAGTTTAATCCATGACGAAAAATAGGATATAAATCTATCAAAGGGAAGAACTGTGGTCATGGTGTCCAAAGTTGTGGCGTTCTTTAACTCTAGCTCGACTGGGAAACTTAATATTTCTTTCCGTTTATACTCAGGCCATTTATCCTTTTCAGTCGCTAGAAACTCGTGACCTGAGAGCCAAGCCTCGATACAGTTAGAGTCATACTTACATATTCCTCTGGAAGCTAGATCAGCAGGATTAATGGATGATGGTATATACTTCCATTGAGAGGGTCTAGTTCGCTCGTGAATGAAGTTAATTCTATTAGTTACATGTCTTGAAACGCGACGTCGTACTAAGGATGTAGTTTAATACTATCATAGAATCCGTCCAGAAGTAGAATTCAGTCAGGTCGTTCAACTTTATTTCTTCTACTATTTGCCTCATCAACTTCACTGACAGTACTGCGGCTTGTAGTTCAAGGCGAGGAACACTGACAAATTTTAAGGGTGCTATTCTAGATTTGCCCAGGATGAAGCTACATCTCGTTATACTTGTATCATATTGTACTCTCATATAGGCTACTGCTCCATAACCGCTTTCTGAAGCATCCGAAAACAGATGTAAAGAAATCTGCCCCTTATTGTACGATCCAATATTGAGACATCGTGGTATCCTTAGATCTCTGACACTTGCAACTGCTTCTAACCAACCTTCCCAACTCAATCGTGACTCTCCATCCATCATCTCATCCCACCCATAGTTTTTACGACACAGCTGTTGCAGAATTCGTTTAGGGGTAAGTGATAAAGGCGCTAGAAATCCAAGCGGATCATATGACGATGATGCACATGATAGAATGCCTCTCTTAGTGATCGGGCGTTCGGGAAGATTTGTAACAGCTCAGGTTGGTTGGCTAAGAGTTGACCCCAAACAACCAAGCTTATGCCAAAACAGTATTGTTCAAGTATTCATTCACTTCCTCATTTTTTTATAAGCGTTATATTCCCTATTATCTTGAATGTTGAGAGCCTTTGTTTGTCTGAACAGATAATCCCACGCTCCACTGTGACTGCGCGAAGATCGAAATAAAGACCTATTCACTACTTCTCTGGTTTCTTCTATCAATAGCACGAGGGTTACCTTAAGGCACGAAAGATTTACGTCGAATGTAAAACAATCGGATTGCTTGTGCCAACAATGTCCTAAAGTTCTCTGTATACGTTCTGTTGAACCTGGTATACGAACCAAATTGTTTGATCTATCACCTATAGGGACGTCATTCAGCGCTTCATTTACGTTACTAACCCATTTATGTAAACGAAAACCTCCAAGCGCAACGAGTCTTATTAGGTTATTTGCTAACTCGGCAGCTTCTGGTATTGTTTCTATCGAGACTAGACAATCGTCTACATAAAAATTTTCTCGTAAGGTGGACTGGGTTTTTTCATCAAACAAATCTCGGTGGTCTGTAGCTGTACGTCTTAAAGCATAGGTAGCGCAAAACGGCGAGGACGTAGCGCCGAAAGGGTGTACATGCAACTCATAGACCTCAGGAGGAGAATCAAGATTGCCATCGGGATACCATAAAAAGCTGAAGGCCTTTGTATCCTTTTCGGGTAGATGTACCTGGAGGAACATTTCTTCAATGTCTGCTGACAATTCAATCTTATGCTTTCTGAATCTAAGCAAAACTCCCACTAGGTCGTTTGTAAGATCTGGTCCAGAATATATACAATCATTTAGAGACCTGTTTTGTAACTTAGCAGCACAATCAAAGACTATCCGAACTTTACCTGGTTTTTTAGGGTTAAATACGGGATGATGTGGAATAAAATACCTTTCTTCTTCGATAGCTTGAGTTACTCGAGACAAATATCCTTTACTTTCGTGGGTAGCTAATATAATAGTATACTGTTTCCGAAGCTGTTCGTCTTTTAGCAACCTTTTACGTAGGTAAATTAATCGTTTTTCTATTTCGCGCTTATTCCTTGGAAGTGAGTGCCAATCCACCTTCCAGGGTATCGGCACTTGATAATGTCCATCGAGCAATACTGTTTGTTTGTCAGTAATCTCCATAATGGTCTTATCACATAGGGACCTGATAACCTTATCAGAGTACTTATTTTCAGAAAATTCATGTTCAAATAATTTGAGAATATCCTCCTCAAAGGAATCTTTCGCTTTTAAACAGTTCATGAAGACTGAAGTTTTATTAGGTTGACCCGTTGGTCCAAATAAAGCCCACCCTAACATGGTTAGTGAAGCATAGGGTTGTTTAGGTTTTCCGGTACGCTGATCGAGTACCCAGTGGGACTCTGGAACGTCAACACCAAGTAACAAACCAACCTTGTCACAGGCTTTGGTGGGTAGTTGTACACCTTTCAAATGTTTCCATCTTTCTTGGAAGTCCGTTGGTGGGATTTCTGCCCTTTTAATAGGTAGGTTATCTATAGTATATGCACCTTCGATTTTTATTCGGTTGGTCTTATCTAAAGACTCAATTTCGAAATTGGTAAGTTCAGCGTTCTGAGATGACGCTCCAATTACCGAAGATATGTTTAATATTGTCACTGTATCAGAAATTCCTACCTGCTTTGCCACGTCACTAACCAGTAATGTCGAGTTTGAGCCATTATCTAACAATGCATAGGTATCCACGATGTCATGTGGTCTGCCGAACCGTTCATGTAGTATTTAATTGCCTCAGTATAACCTTCCTTTTCTGGTAATAAAACTCAGTGTTCTACAGCATCCTTTGCTATACCTTCGCAATAGTGTATCAGGTACATCAATTTCTGAGTGTCATCATTTACTCTGTCAGCTATGTTAACCTTGATTCCCTTCATGAACGTCTAAAATTTAAGAGGGCTCCCGTCAAATTTCGTGATTTCTACCTTCGGTAAGCTTACTGACATACATAGCGCCTTGACGCTATCTACCTGTGCTTTGAATTGCATTTCATCGCTCGAAGGTACATTGGTGTGTCGGTGACTTGCTGTAACTACTGTAGTTTTATCCTCGGATCGAGACCCCGACAACTCGGTAGTCTCCCTAGGTCTTCTCACTTTGTTTGAAGAGTTCGGAGTTAGCTCTAACAATCGCTTGCGTAGTTGTAGTTCTCTAATCTCCAGCTTAATCTTTTCTTCTTCCCTTTCCCTAGAAACCACTTCGTCTTCTACGCTGTATCTAGTCTCTGCACAGTTGTCTCCTACCGAGCAACTGTCTTTGGGGTTAGGTTTAACAATATCAAAGGCAAGATTTAAAGGAATAGGTGAATTCACCTTAGAAACTGAAGGAATAATATTTTCAGCACTGGAATTGTCTGTGTCGTGGGAACTGTCATCGTTGTACTTCATTCTTCTCGTTCTAGTCATCGTTGGGATGAATGAACCAAATAGGATTCCGACCAAATTCGTTACAGCATGTATTCCCTCCAATTAGTAGCAAGTTCAGAACCGTATCCACACCAAATGAGACCAAAGTTGAGAACTGCTATCCACACCAATGAGACCAAAGTTGAGAACTGGTATCCACACCAATGAGACCAAAGTTGAGAAATGTTAATTCTATCGAAGCGTCGAAGTAACCCCGATTGAGATACGCGCAAAATCGAAGTTCCAAAACAACGATTTGTCTACAAAAGCGGTTCTTTATTGAATAATACACAAAATTTATTTACAAACCTCAACTTTTGAGGTGTCTAGGCGTTTAAACGCGTCTTTCAAGAATGAAAATACTAAAGGCTTCGAGAGTCCAAGGACAGCCGATAGCAGTTTATGAACAATCGAAACTCGAACCAAGAGCAAACAATATGGAAACTGTTGCGTTTAAACAAATGCATAAAACTTTGGATAACCGTTACAGCAATTAAATTACAGTGATTATAATGATAAATACTATGATAAGTAAAATAAACGTTAAAGATATATGTGAACATTTCAGAATGTTACAACATGATTGTGAAAATTGTTGGGCATACAACTGCTTACTGAATATAAATAAGTAGTATAAACCAACATACAAAAGAATAGGAAAGGAATGAGCGGGAACAATGTAAAACAAACTTAACACCGCCCCCCAAAGACAGCATGTCTTTCCTTACTTTCGCTGATTAGGTATTAACGTAAAACGTTCAGAGGTGACAATGGTACAATTTACTCTAGCCACAGTCACTCTGAAAGGTCTCTCTATCCTCTACTGTTCAGTCGTCCACCCCTTCTAATAAACAAATTTTACGTATGTCTCTAATAATTATACCTTTCGACGTTCTGATCTTCGCTTGTCTCACTAGACCATCTTCTCCTGGGTCAATATTTACCACTAGGCCTTTGGGCCAGTTATTTCGCGCGTAAGTGTCTTCGATTGTCTCACTATGATATCTCTCTATAACCCTGAATAAATAACTCATTTTTCCCCTAACAGATGATAGTAATAATGATAATAATGTTAATCAACTGTTTCGAACAGTCGCATACTCTGACACCCATCAAATATATATATTGCATTTTGTTCATGCACATCCAGAACACTTCACCTCGTGCAATTCATTTCAACTAGATAATACTTTACTAAAATAACAAAAGAAATCATACCATTGAAATCATGACACTCTCAGTGTCTTTCTCTGGAAACCTGGGTCAAATTCATTAGGTGTTTCGTCTCCAGAATTCCACTCCTGATTCAGTACATCTACAATATTTTCCCCACTTTCATTAGACATCCTCGTTGACTCTCGTGGTATATTACAAGGTGAATGAACACTGTTTCCAGGCTATGCTAAACACTTCATTATGGATCCAACTGATCGTAGTCCACCTCGACGAATGACTGTAACACATGTATCTGTTTGAACTAGTATATATCGACCACGAAACATCACTTGCCTGTAAACAAGTACACAGTAATAAGAATACACATGTGACTGACTACATGGATGTTTCTATATTGGTAAAACTGTTTAGAAAACAAACCATTTGAAATTATTTACCCTACATTGAACATCTGCACTGGTTTATCTAAACCCAATTATGAATTACTGTCACATAAATCGATCCAATAATCCCTATTTTTGTAGAAGCTAAATAGTCTCATGCATTTTACTGGCACTGCGAGACTGTACAAAAGTTCTGTTTGTGTTTGTGGGCTATACGAATTTGTGTGATCCTCGGTTGTAGTTTCCAGAGTTTCAAGTGGCCACACTGTGGAGCAAGATATCATCGTAACGAGCAACACTATACAATTTGGCATTGTTCTTGATCAAATAGTGAAATCAACCATTGTGGGTCTGTTTATATGATTCATGTCAAAAGAATAGGGTGAAGTGTAGGATTTACGTGTGATAGTTTCGTGACGATTATGGGTTTCTAAGTATAAAATAATATATTTGTAATATCTAAATGAGTCGAAATTTAGATTTTTCTGACTTTTCGTGACTTAGTGTAAGTCACTTCTTCAGAGAATAAATAAACTAATTAAAATTAATCCAAGTATAAATAGCACAACGGAACAATGCAAGAATAATATTGGATCAATCAAAAGCAGGTCTGAACAAGTGAATGTCATGTCATTCCGGTCAAGATGATTCATAATAGATCTGTATGTATATTTGTGCGTGTGGGTATTGTTCGATAAGACATAAAGAATAAGGTTAAATGCGAGTGCATTGTATTAGTTTATGCTACTATATCTAACTAGATCACACGTATTCTTTAATTGGATGTCGATAAAATTAATTCACAGTAACATGATATGACCTATATAAAATAGCATATATAATGCAACTACTCGACCTACTGTGTTGTGCATAATATTAACCCATTTCACTTCCACAACCAATAAGTTGAACAATGTCAGTCAATCTGTTCTTCGTCGTCACAGTCATTTCTTATCAAACTGTGTATGCAGTTGTGAACAACCCTACAACAACTGAGTTCAATAACAATACCAGCGCATCGAATAAATCATCAAGTCTACTGAATTGGAGAAATACAATCTCACAATGTGTTCGATTGTATATGGAACCAAATCAACTTGGTGATTGGTTCGATATATGTGATAGTAATGAGCTGCTCTCATCAACATGTGTTTGGAGGATAAAATCGATTTGTACACCTGGAAATACGAATACATTCAGAAAAACATATTGGTTAATATATGAGTAGGTTTGTCCAATTTGATATGATCCGTTGTGAGGTTTATGTTGTTAATGTGCATCTACGAAGCTTTGTCCACTTATCCGTTAATTCTATTCTCATGAAGTTATGTCATGGAATTCATTGAGAACCACTGGAATTTAATACTTAGGCTTATAGTTTGTAATTCATGATACAATCCCAACCAACTGTCATGATGATTTCCGGTTGTCTATGTGGTACATCTTGTATTGGTATATAGACAACATAGTGTTTGGTGAATTTCCGTAAACTAACAAAATTGAAGATCACCATTCATTTGGTTGTGTAGAATTAAGAATTAGAATTAATCAACTGGAGACACGAAAATAATTTCACACAGTGATGATGAAGCGTTGTAGACCAGTCTGTGTGTGTGTGTGTGGTGATGCGTTTCGTCCTTCCAATCAATGTTATCAGTTGATTCACGAAATGTAGTTGATCGACTTGCTTTAGATATTCCGATTACATGACGAATGGAAAGAGTGTTTGCTTCGTTTTGAATATCTTCGGGTTATAGGTAGGTAAGCTGCCTAATTATCTGATGCTTCCACTGTCTCCTACAAAAGATCATCAAATGTGAAAATATGAATATAAAATGAGATGAGATCAGTGAGAATATCAGTTAATTTTGTACACCTTCGCTGTCTTCGTTGTTAATGTAAACACATATGGTTTTCAGCAGAACAAGTTATGTGTTTATCTGTGATCAAATGATGACTGGCAAATTGTGGTTCAGTTGATCTACACTTAAGCAGCATCCGTTGAATGAATAAATAATCTGTAGAGTAGTTCTAGAGCAAATACATTCCACAGAACTGTGATACTTTCAGATCTATAAATAAATTGAATTAATTATCATCATGATTAATTTATGATTTTCATATCTAAATTCGCACGATTTTATCCATCTTTATTAAGACGATCTCATTTCGCAGGACCTTACATACTACTCAGTGCCAGTAAATGTATTGACGATATAAATCAGTATAAACTTTCGGCAACTATGTCAATACTGATCTGTGTAGAGAAACTAACGACAAAATGGGATGTGTTTGTTTCTTGTCAATATCCAAAACGACCATGGAGGGAATTTTTCCCAGTAAACTGGCACTCTGATTATAAAGTCATATCTAAATCTGGGACGGAATCAGCTGATGAAGCAGAAGCTTCCTCACTGGAAGAAATAGAAAGTTTGGTAGATCTACAGAAGAACAGTGTCAACAATAAATAATTACAAGTACAATCTCTTCGTTTTAATCCCGTTCGTCAAATATTGAGGTGCATGCTGATATCAGTCTACTATGAGTTAGAGAGATAGAGATAGAGAGCTGAAAATGATGTTTGTAGTTGTTTTGAATCAATGGACGTAATTAGTTTGATCTGAATCACGATGAATATTGACTGATATTTATGACGGATAACAGTTCAATATCCATTGTTTTGTGTCTTTATACACCACTAGTTATCACGTAACTTATTCGCAAATGAAATTACTGCTTATTCGCTCTTTTACTCTACTAATGCAATGACGTTCGTTCGGTCTGATCAGCCTAGCGTCCTATTAATCCATTGCTCATCTAGCCCGTCACTCTGAGTTTACAATGCCAACAACAGTTTCCACTATGTCAATTATTTATTTCAGACATACTGGTTTATATATCAACCAGACAGACCGCAACGCACCATAAGTAGGAAATAACATTTATACACAATAAAGCCAGAAAGTGCCTGTGAACGTGGGAGACCGTAATCAATAAACTGAGTATAACTTATGAACAGAAACTTATGTTATAATAATAATTATAATAATAATAATAATAATAATAAACTGTGGAGTAAAACGAAGCTTCTTATAAGTGGAATATATATATACATAATTTGATCACTGAATAGTTATACCACAGGAGTATATAGATAATATTAGTCCATTATTGGGTCTCAGTGTTGCTCAATGTTTCAACAGAGAGTTGACCGAGAGAGCAGTACAGATTGTTTTGTAAGAACGTGGCATTTATCCAATTCCCTGTTGTAAGTGAACATTCTGTTCTCCATGACATACTTTTTGAAATATCATTGTAAATAACGTACAGTTATCATATGAATAATGAATTTGCATAGGTACATACTGAATGATTTCCGCTCACTGGTCAATGAGAATGACTCTACAAATAATTGATGGATACTGTGAGAACTCATAGACGTTCAACACATTAACCAAATTTGGTTTTGAGGGAACACATATGCTAGACTGAATTGCAGATTAAAAAGAAATAACTACACTCTTTTATTGATTACCCATTGCATTTATCTTACCATACTACTTGGTATTGTACAGTAGATTAAATGATTATCAATCAATTTGAAGCCTTCCTCTCTGATTTCTTTGTTGAAATGAACTGCTCATCTTAAATATTGTTGTCGATTTTTCTGAAGTTTCGAACCACTTTATTGTTTGTAGTTGTATCGCCTATGTCATTTGATTGTTTACTCCCTTTGAAGTATCTTACTACTCTGTAGACATATACTGTAAACAGCTTGTTTATTTCGAATCGATGGATATTGATTCACTCTGTTAACTGCTTATATGCTTCTTAGTCTGTTGAAAAAGTGAGACATAAGACAGGGAAAACAGGAATTTCAGGACACTTGAATGTTTATTAGTGAATTAGGATGGGAGTTTTCATGGATAATTCACTTATTACAATCCTTTCATTTGATCACATTATCTGATATCAAATATAGTTATGTCATCACTTTCATACAAGTTGAATAGATTGCATAGGTAGTTTACATGGTGAATTGAACTGTTTTCATCTTATACTAATAAGCATTTACCGGTTAGCTTAAAAGTGAGACTTGTGAACCTTGAATATCCACATGAAATATTGTTTGTAGCCAAACATTAATTTAGGTAAACGTTTGTTGTTCATATTGCACAAAGTTAGCGGATACACTTCGAAGGATTTTGTTCAAGATAAGAGAAGAAAATGATTAGCTATATGAGTATCATACTAATTGAGTTGTAGATTTTAAATTACGTCTAAATTTGAACAATACTCCGTTGTGCTATCACACTATATAATAGGTATATACTTTGTCCATTAAACTATGCAATGCAATTATATTCGATAGAGTAAATTTCCAGTACCGAGATATAGTAGATATTGTCAGATTTTGTATATAATTTTACTTACTAATTGACTGACTGACTCAATAAATGACTAGCTGACTGATCGTGGATAAACAACAATTGTAAGCCAGCAAACATTGCATTGCTGTTTTTCTTAGTGAATTTTATATAGGACAATGTGCAATAAATTCGCATAACGTCAGGGGTTATTCTATGAAGTGCACTGAACGTCAAAGCACAACTGTGATCAACCGATCTGCATTTCACCTCAATTAATGTCCACTCAGACTTTGATTTATAATTACTTATCACTGTCCATATGTATGTCTCCAATAACTGGATGCGAACGGGAGAGAGATTTTGATATGTGAATATTTGGAATTAGCATAGAATAATATTCTCCCTTGTAAAATGAAAACCAGATATTTGGAGTGAAAGCGAATTTGTGACACTGAATAAATAGAAATGATCTATGTCTGTCAACGCTGTGATGGTAATTGTTTCTCTGTGATTGTCGTTTCAATGATGGAATTCGTGCAACAACTATATCGATGCCTAATTACCACTAACTATTTCGTTGTGATACACCAAAATGTGCTTGTGTACATGATGATGTGAGTTATGTGAACATGAAATATTGGACTGTTTATGAGTGATTTTCTGTGGTTGACTCAGTTACATAATACATTGCATGACGTACTTCTCATGAATGGTGTGTTTTGTTGCTGGTAAGCAATATTAGGCAAATTTGATTGTAATGCTTGACCGATGGGGATCAAGAAACAACATTAAAGCCAGGATACAAATATCCAACTAATAACATCATTCTTCTCTTCACCATTACTCAGTTCAATAAACAATGCGTGATAGATTTGTTGAGAAGCGTTAGATTAGTGAGATATTGATTTATGTGCCATTGTGGATGCTAATCGGTTATAAGATTGCACAATGAATTGCTGGTTGGAGTAATGTTTAACTGTAATGTTCATTAGCGAAATAAACCAAAGTGGAGAGATTATTTTGACACATGTGTGAGAGTATTCGTACTCTCAAGAACAAATATTTGAGTACTGATGATGATTAGTTTTCATTCAGCTACCTAGTGGTCAACAAAATAGTATAGACCGAATATTTGGAAGGCATTTTGTAGTACTTGTTGTGCTGAACAGACCAAACAAACATCCAAGTCAAAGTGACATGGAGCCTTACGGATAAACTTCTCTATTACACTCAAGATAAAATAAATAACGAGAAATCAGTGAAAGCTATACTACCTTGTAGTTTACTGTATTTCAAATAATAAATTACGCATCGATATTTGATATGTTCTGGTTGACTGGAATGAGCCTAGTGTTGACTTGAGTAACTGAAATTCAATATTTTCATCGTGACCTCAACACTACCTTCTTGATCGTGATTGGCTTAGCACTATCACTAAATTTCAACGTATATTCAGAAGGGTGGGAATGAAGTATAGAGACGATCCGATCAGGTTTATATTGCTATTTGATCACTAAAGTTTGTAGTTGAAATAAGCACATTGACTACAGCATTCCACTTTCTGAACAGAATAATCACTTACAACAGAGAAATGGACAGATGCCACGTTCTTACAAAACAATCTGTACTGCTCTCTCGGTCAACTGTCTGTTGAAACATTGAGCAACACTGCATTGAAATTTTACTGGTTGGAACGACGTGGATGGACAAGTTATATTTTCACGACTCGATGATCATCTACCAGCTTAAATAATCGATTTTGTCATCCAAACATAAACCTCACAACGGATCATATCAAATTGTACGAACCTACTCACATTTTAACCAATATGTTTTTCCGAATGGATTCGTATTTCCAGGTGTACAAATCGATTTGATTCTCCAAACACATGTTGATGAGAGCAGCTCATTACTATCACATATATCAAACCAATCACCAAGTTGATTTGGTTCCATATACAATCGAACACATTGCGAGATTGTATTTCTCAAATTCAGTAGACTTGATGATTTATTCAATGCGCTTGTATTGTTATTGAACTCAGTTGTTGTAGGGTTGCTCACAACTGCATACACAGTTTGATATGAAATGACTGCGACGAGGAAGAACAGATTGACTGACTTTGTTCATCTAATTAGTTGTGGAAGTGAAATTGGCTTATTTTATCCACAAAACAGTAGGTCGACTAGTTGCATTGCTTATGCCATTTGCATATCGATCATGTGATATGAAAATGTATTTAGTTTGTAGGAAACGATGTGTCAACCGATCACATGCATCACATTCTCTATGCATGAGATATTATCATTACATAATCAGTGAGATTTGATCGCACAATGTTGTGAAGCAATAACATTCAACTCAACATCATCTTCGAATTTCAACATTTTCAACTCGAATGATCAACACTTGTTTAATTTGTGTATGTCAAATCATCTTATCATGAAAATGAAATGAGAGCTTGATGCACGGTGACCAACTGTCAGTTTTCAGTGGAATCGAACATGTACACAATCCTGTGATGTGAAGAGGAAATCCAATGGAGTGAGACTTGATAAGGACCAGTGAAATGTTCACATGTATTGACATGACTAATGGATGTGTTGTTGGTGCCATTGTGTTATTATTGTCCCTGTTAATTCTATCGAAGCGTCGAAGTAACCCCGATTGAGATACGCGCAAAATCGAAGTTCCAAAACAACGATTTGTCTACAAAAGCGGTTCTTTATTGAATAATACACAAAATTTATTTACAAACCTCAACTTTTGTGGTGTCTAGGCGTTTAAACGCGTCTTTCAAGAATGAAAATATTAAAGGACAGCCGATAGCAGTTTATGAACAATCGAAACTCGAACAAAGAGCAAACAATATGGAAACTGTTGCGTTTAAACAAATGCATAAAACTTTGGATAACCGTTACAGCAATTAAATTACAGTGATTATAATGATAAATACTATGATAAGTAAAATAAACGTTAAAGATATATGTGAACATTTCAGAATGTTACAACATGATTGTGAAAATTGTTGGGCATACAACTGCTTACTGAATATAAATAAGTAGTATAAACCAACATACAAAAGAGTAGGAAAGGAATGAGCGGGAACAATGTAAAACAAACTTAACACCGCCCCCCAAAGACAGCATGTCTTTCCTTACTTTCGCTGATTAGGTATTAACGTAAAACGTTCAGAGGTGACAATGGTACAATTTACTCTAGCCACAGTCACTCTGAAAGGTCTCTCTATCCTCTACTGTTCAGTCGTCCACCCCTTCTAATAAACAAATTTTACGTATGTCTCTAATAATTATACCTTTCGACGTTCTGATCTTCGCTTGTCTCACTAGACCATCTTCTCCTGGGTCAATATTTACCACTAGGCCTTTGGGCCAGTTATTTCGCGCGTAAGTGTCTCCAATAACCAAGACTAGATCGCCAACTTGTAGATCTCGTCTTCTTTGTGTCCATTTTGTTCGCGTCTGTAAGAGTGGTAAATACTCTTTTATCCACCGACGCCAAAATGTAGTTGCCAACAGTTGTGCTTGTCGCCATTGTCGTGAACAACGCTCACGTAGGTTTATCTCAATCTGATGAAGGTGGGGTTTTCTCAACAAAAGTAAATTATTAGGTGACAATGTCTCGAGTTGTTCTGGGTCATCGTAAACTGGGACTAAAGATCTATCATTAAGTATTCTTTCTACTTCGGTCAGATAAGTGGAGAGCGTCTCGTGGGTCATGGTTTGCTCACAAGATACAGCACTCAAAATTCTACGTATGCTTCTTATTAATCTTTCCCATATCCCTCCACGATGACTTGCGTAAGGGATGTTGTAGTGCCACTCTATATTTAGACGAATCATTTCCTTAGCTACCCTATTATCCTTAAAGTCTGGTAATAGAAGTTGTATCTCCTTCTCTAACCAAACGAAGGTGGTTCCTCTATCGCTGTATATCTTCTTCGGTATTCCCCTGCGATTTGAGAAGCGAGACAACGCCATTAGAAAGGAATCGATTGATAAGGCGCAAGCAACTTCTATATGAACTGCTCGGATGTTGAAACATGTAAATAGGCAACCGTAACACTTTCGAGATTTGCATTCCTCTTTGATCATGATCGGGCCAAAATAATCTACTCCTGTCGTCGCGAACGGGAAGTCTGGTGTTATCCGTGTAGATGGTAAGCCTCCCATCAGTTGTGACATCGGCCTGGCTGATCTAATGCGACAGCTTATACATTTATGTACGATCCTTTTGACTGCCAGAGTGCCCTTTAAGATCCAATATATGAACATTTCAGAATGTTACAACATTATTGTGAAAATTGTTGGGCATACAACTTCTTACTGAATATAAATAAGTAGTATATACCAACAAAAAAAGAGTAGGAAAGCAATGAAGGGGAACAATGTAAAACAAAATTCACAGTTCCATTGTTAGGGAACATTTTGGAGCATGGTAGATACGATTGGAAGATTATCTAGACAAACCGAAATTAGGAAGAATGTGATCGAAGTGATGCAAAATGCTCATCTGTGTTGTGCATTTAGTGTGCCGATTTGATCTGAGAGAATTTGTGTGATCGGATCACATGTGAAGTGAATTAGTTAAGTGTCGAGTAACACTCATTTGTTATTATGTGAAATTCATTTGATTAAACTTGATTGATCTACAAATCATTCAATCGGTACAAGAATGTGATGTGATGTGCACATTGATTGTATACTGTTGTTATCATACTGAAAATGTCACCCAGTATATAATATTGTATTCATCAACAACTCAGGTTCATTAACAACACTGACGTTTCACTCAGTCAATAAGAATCGATGTGATTCATGCTTCCTTATCAATATAATAATTCTAATTGACTTCAGTTTTCGATGGCTTATCGATTGTATTTGTGAAACAACTTGATTATCGATCACTGATTTATTGTCTACAGGTTCCCTGAAATATCTTAGAATATCTCTTAGAATCCTCTCAGATTAGCTTGTTTCCCTCCTAGTGTTCATTCGACTACGACCACTCTCCCCTAAACGGTATTGTTCTGGAGATCTAAATATGAATTTATGAGCGCACGAATTGTGTAGTGATATCGCTTACTTAGTGATTGCATTGCAGAAACAAATATGGAAGTTCCACAGATAAGATATCTCTCCATAACCCTGAATAAATAACTCATTTTTCCCCTAACAGATGATAGTAATAATGATAATAATGTTAATCAACTGTTTCGAACAGTCGCATACTCTGACACCCATCAAATATATATTATGCATTTTGTTCATGCACATCCAGAACACTTCACCTCGTGCAATTCATTTCAACTAGATAATACTTTACTAAAATAACAAAAGAAATCATACCATTGAAATCATGACACTCTCAGTGTCAACTTCTCATGCGTTATTCTACACAATTGTTAAAAGTCTTGATATTGTTAATTAAAATGTAATTGTTCATTAGTGATTGCATGATACCAATACAAGTGTCAAGTAATTATTTCACTTAGTAATAATATCGACATTTCCACTGTCTTGCTCTGGTGAACCTGGGTCAAATTCATTAGGTGTTACGTCTCCAGAATTCCACTCCTGATTCAGTGCATCTACAATATTTTCCCCACTTTCATTAGACATCCTCGTTGACTCTCGTGGTATATTACAAGGTGAATGAACACTGTTTCCAGGCCATGCTAAACACTTCATTATGGATCCAACTGATCGTAGTCCACCTCGACGAATGACTGTAACACATGTATCTGGTTGAACTAGTATATATCGACCACGAAACATCACTTGCCTGTGAACAAGTACACAGTAATAAGAATACACATGTGACTGACTACATGGAAGTTTCAATATTGGTAAAACTGTTTGGAAAACAAACCACTTGAAATTATTTACCTTACACTGAACATCTGCACTGGTTTATCTTAACTCAATTATGCACAGACTAAACATTTTGAATAAAATTTCCAACGAAACGAAGTATACCAGTGATCATCATATCTTCCGTTTTATACACAAAATATTAATGTTGTCGATTTCCAATCACAACTTACCATCCTGATGCTTGAACAAATACAGGATGACAGATGTATGTGCTTGTTCAGATAACACTTGTTATCATATATGTGACACTGACTAGATACTGTCCAAGTGGATTTGCATGACAGAGGACTCACATGAAACTTGCAATATACACATTTCATAGGATGACTAGTGAAGTAATTTGCAGAAACTTACGAATATACCACCCAGTATTTGATGTTATCGAATCTGGTGGAGCGTGGTGAACAAACTGCTCTTGTATACTTCTTTAGAAATGGTGACAGTGATGGATTACTGTCACATAAATCGATCCAATAATCCCTGTTTTTGTAGAAGCTAAATAGCCTCATGCATTTTACTGGCGGTGCCAGACTGTACAAAAATCTTGTTTGTGTTTCTGAGCTATTTGAATTTGTGTGATCCTCGGTTGTAGTTTCCAGCGTTTCAAGTGACCACAGTGTGGAGCAACATATCATCGTAACGAGCAACACTAAACAATTTGGCATTGTTCTTGATCAAATGTTGAAATCATCCTTTGTGTGTCAATTTATATCATTCATGTCAAAAGAATAGGGTGAAGTGTAGGATTTACGTGTGATAGTTTCGTGACGATTATGGGTTTGGTTTGATAAGATTTAAAGATTAAGGATGAAGTGTTTGGACTCTATTAGTTTATGCTACTATATCTAACTAGATTGCACGTATTCATTCATCGTATTATTATTCTAGTTTTATCGGATTATGTATTTGTCCGTTTAGAATGCAATAACTTGATTGATCTGAAATATGAGTGAATGGTGATCAGAAATTCAGTAATCACCTCATAATGGATGAACACTTGACATTAAAACTTCTCTTCTCAGTGTAGATATATATCTGCTTTTACATTGTGTCTCATCATAAAACGATCAACTACTACTCCATTCGTGTTGGTGAACGAAATGGCTAACAGAAAACTTACAGTATAACTATTTATTCGGAAACTGTTAACAGATATTCCTTGACAGCATTACCAACACGAAATAGCTCGAAATGGTGAGATTCGTGTTTATTTCTACTGAACGTAATCACAAGTATCTTTCTCTCCACATCATCCACAAAATCGAACAAAACGAGAACACCACCGGTCTGACAATGTTCAGTGAAATAACCGATTCCTTGTATTAGCTTCACGTGACTCTACCTAATGCCTTTACTTACTAATTGACTTACTTATTCACTTCAATTATATGTTACTTGATTCAATTATAATGATAGTTTGTATATTTTGGACCGATGGTCATTATTTTTCTTGATGTAAACTAAGACTGCAACAGCAAGATACACTGTGACTGAGTATCTGCTGGACGAACTTGAACGTATACGAGCAGGTTTTGTAGATCCTTGTGGGGTTTTAAATCGAGAGTAAACTGGAAAGTGCAACACGTAAGAAATCGGGGTCTCATATAATCAGTTTGACAGACAGCAATATTGACAATTAGGATCGCCTATCAGCAGATATGATTATATAAATGAATTTTAAATGCACAAGAGCATTATGCGGCTTGAAAGCCTAGAATTAAATTGTTGGACAGTGAGAACAATGAATCCCCTTCACATTTTAATTCAATAATATTTCACGTTTCCGTAATCATGATATTCGTGATCAGTGAGTTATATTATCATTGTAAATAAATTCAAAATTCGTAGAACCTGTCACAGAACGAAACGGTCGTCAATTTTATTAACGAAAAACTATACATATTATGTAAGAACTTTCGTCTAAATTTGATGAAATACTTTCACAGTGTTTGGGCACCGAGTTGATGTGAGACATTGAAGAGGAAGAATGTATTTGTAAAATCTCAACGAATGAACTTGAAGCGAATCCAACATCTTGCCTGGCAATCTGATCCAATCTTTTTCAAGGAATTTTAGTCAAACATCAAAATTATCGAATATATATAGGTACATGGTTCTTCGGCTCACTGTGTACTGAATAGATCATCCGATCAACGTTAACAATGTTCAAAGTAGGAATTCGGATTAGTGTGTAGGAGACATGTGGTGTGAAACGAAAAGTGTTAAGATAACTTACTATGGAATATAAATGTCAATACTTTCGTTTGTAATGGGCGAAACTCTCTCTTAACTTGATCATAAATTATTGATCAGAAAGCGAGAAATCGTCAGCCAACTAACTGCGATCCACGCTAATTTTAGCAGCATACAGACCAAGGAACCGGAATGGCAGTGTATTCGAGAAAATAATCATCATGATGCATCAGCCTACATTAAAACACTCGTTCCGTATCTTCTCAACAATTAATTCAACTGTGTCTTCAAACGCTTTAATACAATGTCCATAACATAATGAGTATGACATGAGGTCTATGTAGAAGAGGTGTCATCACTTGCGAATTTTTCACATTTTCGTCATCAACTATTCCACAATTAACTTTTGAATTCAAGTTCAATTCATGTGAATGATATTTACACTGAGTTGCATTGGTCTCACTTTATGCCTGAAATTGAATACGAGAGCTCGGATACGAGTGATTATTAACAATCACCAGTTTATCTAGAGTATTATAATCTGATTAATTTTGGATTTACCATGTGTACACTGAACTCAACTTTTCATTCTAACGAAACAAGCAAAATCATAATCTCTACAGCATCCTATGAAGTCTATATGCGTTTTTCGAGTATACCAAGTTGAGTGATTGTGATTCTTGAGTCTCTTTTTCACAGACACACGCACACATAAACATATACACACTTGATTGTATTCTAGAGGCAACAAATTATTTCTTTTCTCAAGGGAATGTTGCCAAATGATATATATCGGTGAATAAACACCTGCTGTAAAATATTCTCATAAAGCGCTCGTTTTTGATGAAGTTGAAAGAAACCATATGATCCATTTTATCATCGTACTTCACATGTGGGTGAACTGTTCATTATACAAGTTAAGAATATCACAAATCAGTTTTGGTAGAAAAGCTATCCATTGATTATTTGATCAGTTTTCAAGTGAAACATTCATCCGTCCATACTAGTCCTGATTAACACCTCATTGGACATTAGGAATTGTTCAGACTACAGTTTATACAATTGTACCAACGAGAGCAACCTTCATCAAATTGATAGGCTTATGAAGTAAATCACTTAGTAAGTTGATGCATATTCACAATATTCTAACAATTTCTCTACCTACTAAAAACTATCAAAAGTAGTATGCAACATTGTGATCGCACAACAGCTAATGAGTTAATTTACAAACTACCATTGAACCGATCTCTTTTAACATTTCTGTTGCATGTTTTCACGTCTTACACAGATGATGTAAAATTTGGCTGAAAATTAGTTGGAAAAAGTTGTGGAATGTATTAGATGGAGTCAGTTCACTCAAATATTATCCTTAACGTTCGTGTTCTCTATGAAAATGGCTCTGACTTACTATGTATTATTAATTTTAACAAATATAAATTGAAATCTGATTAGCTGTGATAAGACCGTTTCTCGGAGCTTTTCTATTGACTTCTGAGTTTCTTACTCTTTGAGAATGCAATAAGCATGTTGAAATATTTTAAAATTTGTGCTAATAATTACTTTGTTTAATAGAATTTGTGGTAATGAGCATAACTACGATAACAGAATAGATGGAATGTGGGTAGCATAGGATCTCGAAACACGCGTTTCGTCCCATTTACGATTCGTCAGCCAGATGTAACTTCATCTGAATTCTGATTTCCACCCCATGACTCAATCCTATTACCGTTTGCTTCAAACCGCATCAGTTTATTCCCTTAGTTGAATTGAATTGTGCAACGGGTATGAGATTCAACTTCGTTGATTCTGGATCTGCTTGTATCATAATGAATATGTCGAATCTTTCCAGACGTAATAACCGATTGTCAATCAAAACCGATCAAGTTCCTGTCAAATATATCAACAATTGAATAACCAAAGCCATTTCAAATTGAATTAAGACTGTTATTTTGTTCATATTATTATTATTAATCTATTTTTCAACATTGAAGCAGTAGTGGTGAAATAAATAAATTTAACATTACTATATACAACATTCACATTGTTTAGTTTTTCGTCTCTTCTCCCCCTCCCTCTCTTGTAATACTTATATAGAATATAGTGAAACTATCGTTTGAGGTGGATTGCTAACCTTAAACATATATCATTGAGAAAAACAGTTCGTCATTTGAACTTTCTTCTCATTTTTTTCTTCCCATTATTTCCCTTTAGATAAAGATGTTCATAGGAAATGTAAACGTTTATAATTCTGTTACCATATTGATGATTGACTTTTCAATCGTAAATTAACTTTCTTTTTGATATACACTAGTAGCGGTAAATAAATCCTTAAAATCAATATCTCTGTAGGTGTTAGACATTTGATACTAATCACATTAGTTTTGATGGACTCACCTAGCTGAAGGCGCTCAGTCACGTATTCGCACCAGATCACGAGTGAGAATGCCATGTTCAACTTCTCTTGCAACCACTAGTCAGTTTAGAACGGTCACTTCTTGATATTTTGCTAAGCTATCACAGATATTATAAGGAGAATGTAAAACAATTAAGAGTTCGATACATGAGCATTTAATTAACTGTGTACACATAGCTCCAAAGAGTCTTCTTTTAAAATAATCTACAGAGTCAAAGGAACTGAATCAAATCGAATTGGGTCGAATTAATATTTTATGTACTGCTGAAACATTGACAATCCACAAACTAAAGCC